GGGGAAGGCGATCATTCTCGGAACTCGGGTGACCTCCCCCGGTGCAACTGGCGAACAGCCGGACCCGACGGGTTAACTGTACAACCACTTATATACCTCGACGCCGTAGGAATGCGGCGACGATGATGCCGTCGTTCCATGAAATAACGCGCGACATGCCGCGGCATGACATACCTCTCGCCGAGAATCATGCGTGTCCGCGTGAAGAAGAGAGAACCACCTTATACTGGATGATCCCTGCGCGAGAGCGCAGATCACGTCATTCATTCACCTGTGCCGTCTCTACCGTTGACCGCCTTTACCGAACCTGTCGTCGTTCTGCTGCCAACTCGCCAACTGATCTATTGTTTCCCGTAAATCCTGGTCGTTTGCGGATCGACGATTCACCGAGTTGGATCGCGGAAGAGCCTCCTGTATCGCGTCTGAATCGCTCAAGCATCAGTTTTTTTCACCTCGGATTGATTCGCTTGCGTTCACGTGCTGATTGTCTAATCACATTTTTGCGGGCGATGCGGATGCATGATTTTTCGCGACATTAACGGCAACATTTTTATGCGAATATAGTAGGAATGGAAAGAGAGTAGGTTTTTATTATTTTATTTCAGATATTTAGATGTTTAGTTTCGCTCTTGATGTGATAATTTTACTTTCAAATAATGTATCTTTTTGTTTGTAAAATTTTTAGAATGCCTAATTAATTTTTTACACTTGCACTCGAAATAAAAATAATTATGAAACAAGAAACACAATTATTTTGAAAACGATATAAAAATTATCAGTATTTGCGAAAATGCTGAAATAATACAGTGATTAGACATTTTTGCGGGCGTATTGATTTTCCGTGACACGATAAAATTTTTATACGATTATAATGAGAAAAGAGTAGATTTTTTATTATTTAATATTATTTAAGTGTTTTGCTCTTGTTAGAAATTTTTGAATAATACCGCTGTGTTTTCGTAAAATTTCTAAAATGTCAATTAATTTTTAAACTAAATAAAAATAACTACAAAACATAACTATTTTGAGAGCAAGACAAAATTATATCGAGATTTTCGAAAATCCTGAAATAATTTAATTCTTAAGTATAATTATATCGTAATTATTAAGTTAGAATTGATTTCTCTTTGAATATAAAAGAGAGAGAAATATTCGCAAAATGCTATTTGTCGTGAAATATGATTACTAACAACGAATGAGTCTGAAGCCCCAGAACGACTTGTTCGTTGCAGCGTTCACCTCGTAAAGTCCGGCGCTCATGAATATCGAATTACGGGAGCTAGATCGCGGAAGATCTTCGTTACCTCGTTCCACGTACCAGAACCGAAGGGTTTTTCTTCGTTTCGGTCGCTTCGCGCGCATGTGGCTCAGTCCGGTTTGGTCGAGTCATTCATTCGAATAGTTAGTCTCGTGACTCTCTATGAAGTCCAGTACCGTTTTCTCACTTTTTATGGACCTTAGAATTGGATCATTTCGCTAACCGAACAAGTCTTTCTCGGTCGTTCCCCGTCTTCAATTCAGCTCCGATCATAGGGTTCTTGCGAGACCCCACGGTTCCAGTTTCATAGGAATATACTATTAGCGTTGATCCTGAGAAGTTTTCCATTGAAGCTTCACCGATAGAAAGAAAGAGAGAAAAAGAGATGAATAACGCTGACATATTCATGCTATGTTCTCGCAGCTGCATTATAATTAATTTCGCAATTGCTTTCGAAGAGATATTAACCGTCGACAAGCAAGTAAACTTTACTTCGTTTACTTTCGCAAAAGTCGCAAGGATTGATCTTTGACTTTAATTAATTTTTACTCTACTATCGTGAGTTCAAATAGGAACTAGAAATACTTTAGAAATTATTTTTAAAATGACTCGCACTTTTCCTTGAAATATTTTCATTTTGCGTAACTCAATATAAATAATTCATTTTACATCCCGTGAAATTCAGTCTATCCATATCAATTCGTTCGCGAGGCTTCTTCTCGTGAGCTCGCAAAGTTCAACCTCGACTCGCTCGGAGTAGTGAATGGAAGGATTCGTCGCGGGATTGGCAGAACGCGGGGACGAGAGCGGTCAGAGAGAGATGATATTCCGAAGTTGAGGAGAATTCTGCGGCGACGGTGTGCAATATGTGAGATATCCCTTTGGCTTGTGCGCCGTGTTAGATTGTGTACGCGATCCCGTCGTTCATTCACCTGTTACGTCTCTCTCCCGCCATTCCTTTCCTCCTTCGTTCCATCTTGCTCGTTCGCTCACCCGTTTCTTCGCTCGCTTGCTCTCGCTGCCTGCCTTTCTCCCTCATTCTTCGACGTGATTCTACCATGCTATTACTTGTACCATAGATCACGCTCGGTGGTCCGCGAGGTCGCGGAAAAGAGAGATAGAGATGAACGGAGGTCGAGGAAAAAGGTCTCGCGAGCTTGCAACGAAGCTAACGTTCTATCTCTTCTATATCGATCGCGTCACTAATGCGTAATTATTTTTGCGAATATTTGCGTATAAATTGTTTTTTATACCTCGTTTTATTTTACATTAGTAGTTATATTTGAAAAATCATGTAAATGTTAATCTTAATTAGTATTCACGGGTATTCTAGTGGATCCGATATTTTTTTAATTATTATACGTTATGAAAAATAAATAAGTTTAAGTTACACTTATTCCTTGGATTATCTTCAAAATGAAACAAATCATTCAATTATATTAATTTTAAGCAAAGATACATTAACTTAAGGTATAATAAATTTAAAACTTAATTTAAAGAATACACTCGTAAATACAAGGAAAAAACGATAAAGTATTTAAAAATTCAGTTAGACACGGATTTGAAAATAAGTTCATTAGATTATCAAAATAATCATGTAGAACTTGATGTAGAATACTCAAATTGATTGTTAGAATCAAGTCAAAATTTTTTGCAGTATTATTCATCATGCTTGAGATTCTTACATAATTATTTTAATGGTCCAATAAAATTATTTCAGATCTGTATTTAAATTTTTAAATATGTTTTATTTTTAAATATATTTTTAAATACTTCGGCAAAATCATTCTTTCTATACTAATTAAGAAAATTTTGGAGCGAATATCATTTAGGAAATATATCTAGATTTGTATTTAATTGTGTAATAATCAAACTTGATTTATACACTGAAAAAATATAGTCAATTTTAATAAATATTTAGTTGAATACTGCCAACTAAATATTTATTAAATATAAAGATATATTTATTTGATACAAGAAATGTTAATTTAATTTAACAATCTTTTTTTTTTATTGAACAAGTATTTACTTGCTGTAAGTAAATGTTTAGTAGAATTAAATATTTATTAAAATTAACTATATTTTTTTTTCAGTGTACATACCGAGTAATATTCAATCTAAATTAACGTGTTTAACCTGTATTCACTTTATGTATATAAATGTAAATGTACGGAAGCCTGGAATGATCTGTGGCGAATGGATATTCAATATTGCAACAAACAATTAATGTCAAGGATACTTGTTATGTATTACGTCAATTTACTTATGGTTATTCCGCCAATGATTTTACCTGTTGCCGGGCATTACAGTCCGCGTAACTCGAAGCGAAACTCGAGGCTTTGTCGTTCATTGACATCTTATTTATGAGCGGCGATCCTGGTCGAGTAAGCTTAGCCGTTCTTCGGTAGGCATGAAAGAGCGAGCGGTACATACGGCTGTATCTAAAGGAAGCCTCGCGGCTCTCCAAGCTTCGCTCCGATCGCAAAGATAGAAAAATCTGGAGAATGTCGAAGCTGTCGACCAGTTTCAAGAACTCACTACCACATCGAAGAAAGAGATAGAGAAAGATTGTGTGTGTGCGTGCGTGCGTGCGCGTGTGTGTATGTGCGCGTGCGTGCGTGCGTGCGTGCGTGTGTGTGTGTGTGTGTGTGTGTGTGTGTGTGTGTGTGTGTGTGTGTGTGTGTGTGTGTGTGTGTACATGCGCAAGTTAATTCTAGCGGAGCCACCTTGTCTCCTTTGGTTTCGTTCTTATCGTATTAAGTCCTTTTCTCTTTCTCTCCTTTCCTGTCTCTTTCTTTCACTTTTTCCCTAATCTGATGATGACGGAATGGTCCCTATTTTTGCATACCGCCGTTGCAGTTCATCGGTGCACAATCTTATTCGTAAATAGATGCTTCTTGCGTTCAGTAGAAGATCGAGATATCTTAATACGACTAGTACGAAAATGTCACGATACTTATGTACTGGAACGCGACCGCGTGAAAGAATCGTTCATCACCATAGAAAATGAGTTATATAAAAAATTTTATTAATGAAGTTACTTAACTCTAATTAGTATTTGTTTTGAAATTTTTTTAACTGATATTTGCGAATGGTATTCAGCGTACTTTAAATGAATATATCTTAAAATAATTAATGATTTTTTTTCATTTTGAAGGACAAAATTTGAGGAATAAGATTATCTAACTAAAACTTACGTAAAAAACATTTGAAAAAGTTATAAATAATTTTTTATTACATTTGGCGCATAAATATCTGGATCTGTGAATAGCAATTATGATTAAAAAATTTTTAAATCAAGAACGTATAGTTTTACACTATACTAGTTATATATACTAGTTTATATATTACTAGTTATATATTACTAGTTAGTATATATACTAATATATATACTAGTTCACACTAAAAAAAATTTTAGTCATTTTTGATTCAATGAATCGTTAATCAATGTCCGCTTAATATCCATTTAATGTAGTTAATTCATTGATACAATAATTGGATTCAGTTATATAACTAATATATTCATTCTTGCAATGAATTCTAATAATAATAGTTTTATATAAATCATTATGAGAATTCATTGGATCAATTTTCATTATTTTTTCATAATTCAATGAATATTTTATTATATTTACGTACAGTTTTGGTTCACAGTGCATAATTAATTAAGTATACACGCAAATTAAATAACGAAACTTTGAATTCTGTTTTGTACAGAAATCTCGCGATCGGGATTGGGATACAAAACTTTCCTGAAGGATTAGCGGTGGCCTTGCCTCTTCAAGCCGCCGGGATTAGCACGCTGAAGAGCTTCTGGTATGGCCAGCTCTCGGGGATGGTGGAGCCTATTGCCGGTGTCCTCGGCGCAGCCGGAGTGACGCTCGCTGCACCTGCGCTACCTTATGCACTTGCTTTCGCGGCCGGTGCGATGATCTACGTTGTGATCGACGACATTATCCCGGAAGCGCATCAAAGGTATGTACCGTATAATCCACTTGTCCGGAAAAATTTGAAACTGCAAAACGACTCCTATTTACGCTTTTTTACAATGTTCCAAATAACGGACGCTTAACTCGCTCTCGAGATCGCTGCAACGCGATAGGAGTCTTTCTCGAAAATGTACAAATGACGTGATCTCAAGTTTATTCGAGCCTTGAAGCTATTCGGCAAAAATCGTAGATAATAAACCTGTTGAGCGTTACCGATATCGACTACAACTACATTTCCGATAAGGAACTTTATGGTTGCGTATTGGAAAATGTACGTGTTATTGAAAAAGTGTAGAAGGTGGTGTTGAATGCAGAAGGGTGAAGCCGGTTCGCGCAAAGGGAGTTGGGCGCAACTCGTTCTCTTAACTGGTTCCGGCTTCTCGTCGTTCTTTCTTCTCTCCCTTCTCTCCTCTCCTCTCCTCTCCTCTCCTCTCTCTCTTTCTCTCTCTCTCTCTCTCTCTCTCTCTCTCTCTCTCGCTCGCTCGCTCGCTCGCTCTCGTTTTCACTCTTTCTCTTCGTATTTTTTAAACACCGTTTGTACCAGAGGCACCAGTCCACAGTGCACTTGCACCCGTTTCCGTCTCACGTTTCACCCTCTGCCTATTCACGATGAATTAGAAATCCAGGCCTAGTCTTGGAGTCAGAAGGACGGAAGGCGCTTTTCCCACCAACACAATGGTCCTTTATTTCGGGATTTATTCTCTCATCCTCAGGCGCGGATGCGCGAATAGCCGTTCGATGGCAATCTTTTGACAACGCGCGATCCTCCAATCCAATCGTCCTTCTCTTTGACAATGAATATAAGCGTAATTTTTTCGTTCACAATTGTACAGTTTCATTTATTGTCGCTCTTTGCTTTCTTAGAAATATTATCTACACTATATAAAATAAATAATACTGATTAATTTGTAGATAGAAATTAAGAAGACAATATGTACAATCAATCAAAATTTACGCAATCAAAATTTAAATTGCTCACTGCAGCAGTTCGTAAAAACTTTATATTTATATTTATCTTTTCTATATTTCTTTTATAACTTGTTAGATTTATAAAGTTTATGTCAAGTTAACTAAAAATAATTCCTTTTATTCATTTTATTTAATATCATCCGTTTATTTAATTTTATGTATCATGTGATAGATTATCAGTTTTGCGATCGGTTAATTGTGATTCTTACAATCTAACGTGAACTCGTATATACTGTAACTCATGTATATCCTTTACTTGAATATTCTTCATTCGAAATCGCTAGAATTCAGCGAGATCATTCCGGCGACCGCGCGAAACGTCTGGAATCCATTTCGACCGTACAGAGCACCGAAGCGCATAAATATAGAGAAGAAAAAATTCGTGTCGCGTATGTCCTATGAATTTCTACTCCGTGTCAAGCGGACACGCATATATGTACCTGTACATACTCGCACGCACAAACGTATATCCAAGTATCTACGATGTCCGTATTCGAGAGCGATTACGGTACAATGGCGCGTGACGGCAGTGCCGTAGTTAGCGCGCCGCTGGCAAAACGGACGTGGCGAATTTCTTTCCCAGGCCTGGCGGCGGCCTAGCTGAAGAAGTGCATTGTCATTATAATTGGCTCCTTTTGTATTTCGCGTGCGATCTAACCGCCCGGATACTCGAGCGCGAGCGCACGGTACACGCGTTCTTTCTCTCTCTCTCTCTCTCTCTCTCTCTCTCTCTCTCTCTCTCTCTTCTTTTCTCGTCGTGATTCTCTCGTCAAGGATCCCCTGAGACAGTCGGCTTCAACTCGCTCCCTCGGGAACCCTCCGGGTGGCCGGAAAACACAAAAGTGAAAACAGATCGCTCGCTCTCTCCCGTCTTTCTTCTTCTACTTCGTGGAAACCGTTGCTCGACTTCCATGAAAGAAGAGTCAAGTGATTCTTTTTCGAAAAGAATCAATCGATCTCGAATTGCATTTGTATAGGTATGCGTGGTCTAACTTCGTTTTTTTTTACATGAAGAGAATGATTTTGTCGAAGTGTATCTAAAAATTTAGCTGTAAGATACAGAAAATAAATTTTGTTGGAACATCAAGATAATTAAATATATTAGACTTTGCTTTATCAAATGCAAAAATTACTATTGCCATATTTTAAAAACATGTAGACATGGTTCGAAAATATTGTATATACAATTTTAAGCTTAAATAAACGAGGTTTTCTGATCAACATAATAGCTATACTTTTAGATATTTCAGTAAAATTGTTCTTTCCGTATAATGTACACAGTAGATATATTTTTGAAATTCTAATAATTACATCCGAGAAGTATGATCAAGCTTTTAGAAGAGAAGTTTTCTTATTTATATTTTCGTGTAGATATAATGTTAATACGCGTATTATTAGCAAATTGTTATTCCTAAGAAATGGCTATGAATACACCTAAGTGCTGTAAGTGTCCTGCAACCTGCAATATTTGTGTTACTATCGAGCCATGAGAATTATACTTGCTAAGTCCACACTTGCTTCATTTAAACGACGTGTAAAAAATTATGGGTTGGGCAACTTACATTAACGACTTTCGTAGACTAATCTCGATTAAAAAAAGCTTTTTAAGAATTAACTTAATTGAAACTAGAATTAGTGAGATAGAGGAAAAAATTACTTGCGCTTATATGACCAAAAATTGGGTCACAAATACAACATTAATTTAAGTCCAAGAAAAGAGGACAATCGGAATATATAAGATTCCTTCGAATTCCTTCGCGACTTACTAAGTACCTACGGTACTTTCAACGAGGAACACCGGCAAAAATCGACGTGGCTCGGCTCAATTCGGAACGATCGCCCCTCGTGCAATTTGCATTTTCCTCTGCTCGGCGAAAAGGAACGCTTGCTTCGCCGATGATACCCGTGTTACATGTTCGATACAGCCGAGCAACGTAGGAATATTTAAATTTATTACTCTATCTTGAAACTTTCACTTACCTATTCGCACTTGGATGTCAAATTGGCCAATGTTTCCTTCTGCAACTGTGCAGTTTTGATTATGACAACTCTATAAAACAAGCAGAATCAAATAAGCAGAATTAAACCTATCAGAATTTTTAGTACTCATTTTATATTAAATTGTAGTCCATTAGTGATAATTTTGTACCGTATGTCATTTAAAAAAAAATCGTGGTGATGTTAGGATAATATTTAAGATGATAGATTGATATTTAAGATAACTAATTTAAAATAAAAGAAAAAAAGAAAACTAATATCAGAAATCAATAGGATTGAATTTGTACTATTTTGTACTATACCAAAAACAATTCTATATTATGTATTATTTCCAAGAAAATGCTAATTTAATATTTAAACTGACAGGATCATAAAAAAACAACACAAGGGCAAAAATTAACACAGTTGAATTGGTATTGATTTGCACCATTGAAAGAGAGAGAGAGAGAATAAGTTAATATTTTACATGTTTTCTCCTCAAAATGACTTTATTATGGGCCTGTCAGCTTAAATATTAAATTAGTAGCGCTATTGTTTTCTTGGAAATAACATATAATATAGAGAATTGTTTTTGGTAGTACAAAATAGTATTATACAAATTCAATCCTATTGATTTCTGATATTATTTTTCTTTTCTTCTTGTATTTTAAATTGGTCCTGCCATCTTCTCTCTAATTTAATATTACTACGATTTTTTTCAAAATGACACACAGTACAAAATTACCATTAATGATGTACAATTTAGTATAAAATTAGTACTAAAAATTCCGATAGGTCCGATTTGATTCTGCTGATTTAGTCTTAGCTTTATAGAGCTGATTATGACTATACTAACAAGATCGAAAAGAAAGAATATTCCAAGTATAATATGTAAATATCTTCATATATGTATATGTGGTTTATAACCATTGGACACATAGCGCATATTGATGCATATTAAAGCCATTGTACACTAATTTAATCTGAGTGTAAAAATGAAATGCAAACATTTCGAATTATAAAATACTCTAAAATATTTTTACCTACAGCATAATGAAGTGATATTGAGTATTTTAATTTCGATTTCTATATTTATAATGAACACATATCCTTACATCAATTTGTGTACGATGGATTTAATGTGCATCAGTGCGTACTGAGTGCATCCAATTGAATTCGATGTTATTGTTAGTTTTCCATATAAAAACAATTATTATACACATTTAAATGTATCTATTTTTGTATGCAGAATAATGTGTGTTATTTAACAATGTTAAAACTAAATCTTACATATATAAAATCATTTATTACATATTTAGATTTGTGTATCAAACCTAGAAATCTCGATTTAATACACGAAGTATTCAATAACACACGATATGATGTTTGAAATGTTGAATAGTTTCAAAGTTCTAAGGAATGAGGAAGTACCGGGAGAATATTAAATTTTATCGCGAGGAGTACAACGTACTGTCAGTATCACGTCATATTGACTAAAGGATAAATCGGATCGAGGATCGGTTCTTAGCGGATGCGTTTGTTTAGCGGATCGCGACATGACTTGACTCGGCGCCCCAGTTTCGCCGAACAAGCGACGACGACGACGACGAAGATAACGACGGGGAAGGGGGGGAGCGACATTGTTATCCCGGCTACCATTGCGATGAGACACGATAATGGCCAATAAAAATACAAATTTTCTGACGCACACCGAAAGGAGGTATTTACCGCGCGGATATGATTGATGTGGTAGAACGCCCACCGAAATACAACGACGCGTTTCGCCGGCCGTTAAAATTGATGGCCGTGTATAATTTACGAAATCAACAAGCCGTGACGTGCAATACCGGGGTATATACGCGCGGCGCGGCACGGCGAGTGTGTGCTTTGTATGTGCTTAATCCCTACTTACTTGCCGCGAAAACCCTTTTATTTCTCGCCATCCTGGGGCTCTCTTTCTCCCAGGTCGTTGCCACGGAGCCGTAAGAGCAGAGAAGACGATGACGATAGGTGGGCGACGGCGCCAGTGCCGCCTTTTTAATTCTCCGCACCCTTGTTACCCCCTCGTCCTCCACTTTGGTCCATCACGTCTTTCTTCATCACTCTCTGTCTCTCTCTCTCTCTCTCTCTCTCTCTCTCTCTCTCTCTTGATTTTTACATTCGATCCATGCATTAACGGTTGCACTAATTAAAATTCCTTCCCGCTTCTTTACCGTTCATGTATCACGCCGTCACCAAATCGCGATATGATATATGGATTTTGAAAGAACTTGACACACGCGCGATCATTCTGTCCTTGTTGGAGTTTTTTGGGAGACAAAATTATGCAGATAAGATTGTGGAAACGAATAACGAAGACAAACTGATAAATTTAACGTTATTATATATATATATATATATATATATATAAGTTGTTATGAATCAAATGGAGCATCTTAAATTTTAAATCAGTTTTTTTGCGATTTTATATGCGAATTTCTTCTGAATCTTAATGCGTGTGCCACGCGCGCTTTCTGTTTACAGCGGAAACGGCAAACTCGCCAGCTGGGCCGCCATCGTCGGTTTCTTGGTGATGATGTCCTTAGACGTTGGCCTAGGTTAAGGACATCGTCTCCAAAGTAGTCACGGCGCGTCCACATTCTTGTAAATGTGCATTCAAATCATGTGGTAATGGTAACAAGTGTTCACAATTTATAACGACGTCTTCTTAATTCGCAGCATTCACCGAATAGTAGTGCGTTTTCTCGCAAAAAGGTCAAAAATTGAGTGATGCTAGCGAATATTTTCCAGTGTTTTTGTCCGCCGTTGCGTACGACACTTTTTATCCTTAAAGACTCAGGAGAATCGAAATAAGAAATGTTTCCAATTAGGTTCGAGATGTTCTATCGTGATTCCTGATAGTCATCGAGCGAAGCAGAGGTATAAAAATTATATATATATATATATATATATTCTATTATTTATTACATAAAACACCTATGACTTAAAATTGCAGCATTCCTGTGAATAATAATTCTACAAGCAATACCGATAGCACCTCAGATACATCCACGATGCCAGGTCCAAGCGGTACAGCAAACACAAATAATGAAATTAATAGCGATAGTTCTCAAGTTAAAGTAGGAAACACTACTCCGACTCCGAGTACGTCAAAGGAAAACACTCCTACTCCAAGTATATCGAAGGAAGACACGTCAGCATGTAATGATACAGTAGACTTATCTAGGACTGAATCTTCAAGCGAACAAGAAATGCTGCGCAGACGTAGGTTACAAAAATTTTCACCTCCACCAACAGAATAAATAAAAATAAATTATGTGATAACTTATGTAACATAATAGTTTTTAACTTGGTTTATTATCGGCCTCAATTAACGCAAACGGTCAATAATTGAGGACTGTATAAAGCTAAAGTTTGGATTTTGTGATTGAGACGATATTCGATATTGTTTGGGGTTAAAAGCCAGTTAATGTTTTAAGCACTGATAAGGCTGTTTGTAAAAAAATCTCCAGCGATTATTAAATCCAGAATTTAGTGATAACCGAGACTGAAAGCTTGAGACTCAAATTGCAAACTGTTATACTACCAACAATCATAATCACATGGAAGAATGATTTTATAGGAATGACAATTTTTTGTCTTTCTTTTTGTAAATTATTACCAGAGTGCATATAAAATGTAAGAAATTAATTCCATTGACTTATTATACTTGATTATAATTTTCAGATTTATAAATGTGTTTACCTGTAAATAATTACAGATTTTCTTGCTATCTATATAATCTTTACAATTGTACGAGAATATTTCTTATGAAACTACATGAAACCTTAAAATTATTTCATGTTCTTTGCATAAACATGTATTTGAGTACCTTTATCCCTAAGCTTTAATATATGGAAATTTCGTATGTA